GAAATCTTTAAAAAACATTTTGCTAATATATAAAATTTCTTTAAAAAAAATTAATTTTTTTTAAAGAAATTTTATATGTTGGTAAAACGTTTTTTAAAGATTTTTCAAGAATCACCTAACATTTTTACTACCATTAGATATTTCTTAATGAGTTCTACAACTTTTATTAGAAGCTCAAGAGTGATTTACTTAGTAAGAAAAAAAGTTTTAAATTGGTATACTCCATATTTGGCTCAATAATAAAATTTATTTATAAAAATTTGCAGATTTTCTCTGGTTGACTAGCAAATCACCAATTAATATAATACTGTATTTAATGGTTAATATATAGATTGATTTAGTCAATATGACTTTTCAGCAAGATAACAAGTTTAAATATATTGCTCATATCCATGATCACTTTACTAGATATTTATAGATACATGCATTTACTTCAAAATATTTAGTAGAAGTAGCTACTTTTTTATTTGATATTTTTACAACATTTGGTTCTTCATTAATTCTATAATCTGATAATGAATAGAAGTTCGTTTCTACAATAATTACTGAACTAGTTCATTTGTAGTCTATAATTCAAATAATTAATATTATCTTGCTAGCCAAAGTTTGGTTAAACAAGCAAATAGAGTTCTTGAAATTAAATTAGGAAAGTGGATAGAAGATAATAAGTGGCAGAATTGTTCATTCAGATTAAGATTTGTAGATTATACAATAAATAATTCAATTTGCAGGGCATATAATAAAAAGCCTTATGAGCTTGTATTTGGTAGAATTTCGCATGAAGATTCTGTAATTATTGATTAGTTATTTAAGAAAAATATTTCTTGTGAAGATAAATTTCTAGATGAATTTAATCAAAAAAATGTTCAAGAATCAATTTATAACTTAGATTATTTGATACTTGATACTTTACCTACAATCGAGTCTTCAATAAATTCAAATCAAGATTCGAATTTGGATAAAAATATCAATACTGATAACACTATACCCATATCAGAATCTTCACATCCAAGTTTGAATAATGATAATTCAAATTTAATGGATAATCATAATTATAATAATATATCTGTAATTAAATTTAGTTTAAATCAGGATCTGAAAATAGTACGTATATAATTATAATTTTATTATTATCGCTATATATAATTTTATTATAATTTATCTTTATTAATTATAAATAAATTTTAATTTAATGTTAATTATCATTATTTGGATTGTTACTTCTTTCCAGCTCTCTATATCTCAACTATTACAAGATTTAACAAA